CAAGATTGTGCCACTGCACTCCAGCCTGGTGCCTGGCAACGATACAAAATCAAAAAAAAAAAAAAAAAAAAGTACAGACTGGCAAGCTGCATAAAGAAGCAAGTTAAATGGTAGGTGTCTTTGAAAGACCTAGCTCACATGCAAAGACACCCATAGAGTCAAAATAAAGGGATGGATAAAAATCTACCAAGCAAATGGAAAACTGAAAAAAGCAAGGTTGCTATTCTAATTTTAAACAAAACAGACTTTATACCAACAAAGATCAAAAAAGGCAAAGAAGGGCAGTATATAATGGTAAAGGGTTCAATTCGGCAGGAGGACCTAATTATCCTAAATACACATGCACCCAACATAGGAGCATCCGGATCCATAAAGCAAGTTCTCAGAGACCTACAAAGAGACTTAGATGTCTACAAATTAATAATGGGAGACTTCAACACCCCACTGCCAGTATTAGACCACTGAGGCAGAAAATTAACAGAGATGTTCGGGACCTGAACTCAACACTTGACCAAATGAACTGAACAGACATCTATAGAACTCTTCACCCCAAAACAATAGAGTATACATTCATCTCATTACTGCATGGCACATAATGTAAAAACCACCACACAAATGGACGTAAAACAATCCTCTACAAATTAAAAAAAAACAACAAAAACAACCTGAAATCATGCCAACCATACTCTTGGACCACAGTACAATAAAAATTGCAATCAATACTAAGAAAATTGCTGAAAACCATACAATTACATGGAAATTAAACAACTTGCTCCTGAATGGCATTTGGGTAAGAAATTATGGCAGAAATCAAGAAATTATTTGAAACTATGAGAACAAAGATACAACATATACTACATTCTATGGGACATGGCTAAAGCAGTGTTAAGAGGGAAATTTACAGCTCTAAAGGTCAATGTAAAAATATCAGATCTCAGATAACAACATCATATCTAGAGAAACAAGAGCAAACCAACTCCAGAGCTGGCAGAAGACAAGAAATAACAAAACTCAGAGCTGACCTGAAAGAAACTGAGATGCAAAAAAAAAAAAAAGAACCCCTAATTATTTGAAAGAATAAGTGAGAGAGATAGACAGCCAACTAGATTAATAAAAAAAGATCCAAATAAAATCAGAAATGACAAAGGGGATAGTACCAGTGACTCCACAGAAATATAAAAAGCCCTCAGACTACTACTATGAACACCTCTATGCGTACAAGCTAGAAAAAATAGAGGGAATATGTAAATTCCTGGAAACATACAACTTCCCAACACTGAACCAGGAAGAAAGAATCCCTGAACAGAACAATAATGAGTTCTGAAACTGAATCGGTAACACAAAGCCTACCAACCAGAAAAGAACCATGAACCACATAGATCCACAGCCAAACTCTACCAGATGGATAAATAAGAGCTACTACCATTCCTACTGAAATTATTCAAAAAAATTGAGGGGGATTGACTTCTTAATTCTGTAATGCCAACATCATCCTGATACCAAAACTTGGGAGAGACACGACAATGACAACAAAAACTTCAGGTGAACATCCTCAATAAAAATAGATGCAAAAATCCTCAACAAAATACTTGCAAGCCAAATCTAGCAGCAGATCAAAAAGCGAATCCACCATGATCAAGCAGACTTTATCCCTGGGATGCAATGTTGGTTCAACATATGCAAATCAATAAATGCAATTCATCACATAAACAGAACTATAAACAGAAACCACATAATTATCTCAATAGATGCAGAAAAGGCTTTCAATAAAATCCAACATCCCTTCATGTGGTTGTTGGCATGCGGCTGTAGTTCCAGCTACTCAGGAGCCTGAGGCAGGGTAACTGCTTGAACCCGGGAGGCGGAGGCTGCAGTGAGCCGAGATCATGACACTGCACTCCAGCCTGGTGA